CTTTGCAAATATTATTAGTTTCTTTTTAGTTGTCTGATTATCATGTCCTCTTTTTTGTTTTTTTGTCTTTTTTCACTTTTCACTTTTTTCACTTCTGTTTTGTGTTGAGGTTGATGACTGAGCCAAGGTCCTAGCCTGTACCAGCTATTTTGTGGGGACACACTGAAGCTGTGTCCCAAGTTTACAAGTGGCGCTTTATCATTGTTTTTCAAAGAAAAATTAATCTGATCCTTGAAATAGTCAGAGTGAGCAACATGATCCATTCACCTCCATAATCTTCTTCATACTCACAACCATTTAATAAAATATTTTACATCTATTTCTGTCTTTATTGTTTAAAAATAACACCGTCAAAATAGTGATACGTATATTTTTCTAGTACTTGCCATTCTTTCTAATATGTGGGGAACATCCCACCTCAAATAGGAGACAGAGGTCTTACATGTAAAATGCACAACCTCCTAGACAGAGCATCGTGTGTTTTTTTTTCTACTTACTCTATTGTTGAACATCGATTTTTCCCCTTACAGTCTCTCATTCCCACCTTTAGTTCTGGGTGTCCTGGAACCTTTTTTAGGTAGGCAAGGTCCCTGAGAGAAGGGTAGGTTTCACTGCAGCCTGGTCAGCACACACTCCTTTGACAATTCTTTGTCTAGAAACAGTATTTTCATTAGTGAATCTCTGCCCATTTGGGACTGTTATTTTGTCATTGGTGACAAGTGTGGTAAGAGTTAAAATACAACATAAATGTCAGAGTCCTGAGGCGGCCCATTTGTGAAGAGGTTGGGACAACCTTTAGTACTAAGGATTCAAGCCCCATAGACTGAGAATAACAAGAGGTCCACTGGTGTGATGTGTGTCAGCAGCAGTCCCACATGGGATCAGTGGCTATACAAAGCCACATACTTACAGTCAGTTGCTTTGTGTAGTCAGTCCAGAGAGTGCTAAAAATAATCTTCATATATAAACTGTCATTTATACCATAGCTTAGCACCTCTCCATCTGTGAAGTGTTATCCAAAATCTACACCTCGTCAAAATGCCCAGGTGCCATGGTAACCAGCCCCTCAGAAAAATTAATTACAGTGTCAAAAAAGGACACATCAGGAAGTTTGAGAAACTACTGTGTTTTATGAGGAAAAGTTATAATTATTTCAGTCATCTCAGCATGAATACCAGGTGTATTTTTGGCCTGGGTCTTCTTAGACATCAGCATTTGTTCCAATTTGAATGCATATAGGTTACAAAATGATATTAATGGTAGCTACACTGAAGTTATCATTTATCTCCATAATTTTGTTTTTCTGTTTATATGTTATATGGAAATAGAAATGAATTTAGGTGATTGCTTCCTTTCATTATTTACTATATAACATAGGAGGAGATCTAATTCTCTCTCAGATGATGTGTCCTGAGGGGACAGTGCTCTCTCAGCCGCCTGTGTGTATCAGCTTTATTTTTCATTGTTATTTATTGTCAAAATCAATGTGGTATTTGGAAACTTCCAAATTGGTTCTACGTATCTGAGGGTCTAAAATTTGTAGCACAGCAAAAATCAGTTTTCTTAGGAAATCGCACCAGACAGTATAGAAAGAGAGCTCTGAGTTTGAACTGGCCATTTTTCATGGTAACATAGACCAGGCACTGGCCCGACAGACAAGCTCACAAAATACCTCTCATAGCAGATCCTTCCAGAGAGTAATGCTGAGGCTGAAGGGGTGGCTTTGTTGTATCTCTTCCAGAGATAATTCTCCCTTGTCCAAAACAGTATTCATTTCCATATAGGTAAATGGTGGGGTATGGAAGATTATAAAAATCTTTCAAAATGAGAGAATATGTTTAAAAATAAAAAAGAAGAAACAGTGAATGTTTGGTTATTAAAGGTTAGCAAAGCATAAGGCATAAAACATGTAAAGAATCAAATTGAAGGTAAGTAAATATAATATGCACAGAAGTTGGGGGGAAGAAACTTTTTAGAAAAATGTTTTAAACTGGACAAGGAGATGTAAAAACCAAGATACTTCCATTTCTTTTCCTGATTCTGAAATAAAATCTTTTTATCCTAGCTATACAGAGAATATTTGTGAAATGAACCCATTAGTGAACAAAAATGATTGGACCATACTCAATAGTTTATGTGCTACAATATGTATGTGTGTATGCGTGTGTGTATGCATGTACGTGTGTGTGTGTGAGTGTGTGTGTGTGAGTGAGTGTGTATCTGTTGATATTGTTATTGTTATCCTTGAGATGAATTTAGGGCTTTGTAAGCACCACTTAACTACCTCTCTAGTCCTTGTTTGTTTGTTTGTTTTGTTTTTAATGTTTTTATATTATTGTTACACTGGTCCTAAGGATTGAACTCCAGGCCTGGGCACTGTCTCTAGCTAGTTTGTTCAAGGCTATGACTACCACTGAAGCCACAGTTCCACTTCTGGCTCTGTGAGGGGTGAGGAGGACACGCACGCGCGTGCGTGCACACACGCACACACACACACACACACACACACACACACACAGGCACACTTAACTGAAGATAAGAGTTTCATGGACTTTCCTGCCCAGGCTGGCTTCAAACTGTGATCCTCAGATCTCATCCTTCTGAGTTGCTCGGATTACAGGCAAGCCACTGACACATAGCTGGGGTATATTTGTTTGCTTGTTTTGTTTTTGGCAGGATCTCACTATCACATAAATTTAGTGTCCTCCTGCCACCTGAGTGCTGAGATTCCAGATGTGGACGGACATGCCCAGTGTCATGCGTTAGGGATCTTTGTGGTAGAATTTCCTCTTAGCTTTTAGTCTAAAGAGGATACATAGCTTAAAGAAAAGTTGGCTGAACACAGCTCAATCCGATCTGGTTTGACCTAGCAAATGTTTCCAATTGATCTCAAAACTATTGAAAAAAATAAATTGTGTAAAATGACAAAGTTAATTTATATTTCTATACTCACTTCTGCTCATTTTATCCAGAGTCCATATGGGAACTCTTCTGAGTCTGACTTCTTATTACCTCTGTTGCCTTTATCCTGGCTTTGACCTTGATCCTTGACCTTTATCACCAGGACAGTTGCCCTTTGCTAGTAGCCTCTCATACATAAATGAAAGATAAGGAAAAAGTTGTTTTTGTTGATTTTTTTGTTCTCCTGCCTATTAAGTATAATGTGGCCCACAATGTTCTGCCACGTTGGACTGGTCTCCTTAAGAATTTCATGGGCTAAGGGCTGGGAAGGTGGCTCAGTGGTAGAGTGCTTGCCTTGCATGCATGAAGCCCTGGGTTCAAGTCCTCACTACCACAAAAACAGAAAAAGCCAGAAGTAGCGCAGTGGCTCAAGTGATAGAGCTCTAGCCTTGAGGACAAAGAGGCTCAAGGACAGTGCCCAGGCTCTGAGTTCAAGCTCTACGACTGGCAAAAAAAATAATAATAAAAAGAAATTTCATGGGCTTAAAATCCTAACCCTAACCTTTGCTATCGTAGAATCTTTGTAGGAACCTGTGCCTTGATATTTGTGACCTAGACTTGTCTTTGCATTCTGAGGCTTCATTTCTTTCCACCAGTAAAACCCACAGAAGTAAGGTGTCCCTCCCTCCAGTTAGGGACCTACACCATTAGGTAAAGATTTAGCACCCTGGAGACAGCATAGTACAAGTGTAATTGTTCTCTTGGATTAGAGCATTAATTAAATAAATGGATTCAGATCCACTTCTCATGTTAACTGAAGGGTAGAGTATGTGTGTAAGAAGGGAAATGAATGTTCCCTTGGTCATATTTCATACACATTTCTCTGAATCAGGAAGCTATTCTTGCAGAAATATTGAGAAATCTAGGACAGTTTATCTCTCTACATTTGAATATTTTAAATGTGAGAAACTCCACTAGGGCATATAAATATTTTATATAAAATCAATAACAAATAATGACTTATAAAGCTAGATTAATTAAGTAAATGAGTCATTTAAAATATATACCAGGGAAGTGAATTAACATGATTACAATACCATAATAGACACCAACACCTGGGAACCTCTCCGTATTGAAAAGTGTGATTCTTAGAGCATTTCAGCCCTACCCAGGGGACTTTTTATTTCTAGAACTGTGAACTGGATAGTTGGAAAGTGTCTTCAAGCTGAATTCCACTTGGCACAGAGTACTCAATCCTCATGATTATTTATGTTCAGTACCTCTCTACAGAGAAAGCCAGGTGGTAATGGCTCACAATTGTAATCCTAGATACTCAGAAGGCTAAGATCCGAGGATCATGATTCAAAGCCAGCCTCAGCAGGGAAGTCTGATACTTTTATCTTCAGTTAACTGCCAGAAAACCAGGAATGGCTCTGTGGCTCAAAGTGTTGAGAGCAGTAGCTTTGAGCAAAATAGCTCACGGATTGCACTCAGGCCCTGAGTTCAAACCCCACAATTGACCAAAAAAAAAAAATCTATTAGAGAGTTCTAAATTTGTATGAGAACAGAATAATATAAAGGTTTGGGGGCTGGGAAGGTGGCTCAGTGGTAGAGTGCTTGCCTTGCATGCATGAGGCCCTGGATTCGATTCCTCAGCACCACATAAGCAGAAAAAGCTGGAAGTGGCACTGTGGCTCAAGTGGTAGAGTGCTAGACTTGAGTTGAAGAGCTCAGGGACAGCACTCAGGCGCAGAGTTCAGGCCCCATGACTGTCAAAACAAAAAGTTTGTACATAGAGAGAGGGTAATATAAACAACAATTTACCAGGATTTTTTAATTAGAAGTTATAATCAATAGACTTCTTTAATATTTATGTTGAACAGGACAATTGTAGACTGACTACTGCTGGATGTTTTGGTTGGGTACAGGGAGTTTATCTTAATCACAGTGTATTGAAGTATATTGAAGTACTATTGGTTCTAAAATTTCTCTTTAGTTTGAATGTTTTAGTTTTCTTTGAAAACCTTACAATCACAGTTTTAAATTTTAATAAAAAAAATATGCCATCTAGTTGTCTTACATAATAATATTTCTTTCAGCTTTTTGCCCGAATTCATCAATGGAGACTTTGATTCTATTAGACCTGAAGTCAGAGAATACTACACTCTTAAGGTAAACTGTAAAGTTCCATACTCAAGATTTGATCATCTGATTGCTCTTCTTCTGATTTTCCTCTAAAAATCTTTCTGATTTTCATGATATATAAGTAGGGATTGAGAAGCTCATTGCTTGGTTTCTTTCATAGTTTGTTGTTGTTATTGTTGTTGTTGTTATTGCTACACAGATGGTCATGTGCATTAAACATGGGGATTTAAAATATGACAAATGGTAGTTCAATCTGGAGGAACCTCTGTCACCATTACGTAAGCATTAACAATGCCTTTACATATGTGTATGTGTGTGTGTGTATTAACTGAGCTCACAGATTAGACACAATTATAATATTCTGTTATTTTTTTATTTTGCACCCTAATCACTGATGTATTTCACAAACAATTATTGTGAGCTTATTTAATGAATATTCTTTATTTTACATAATCAGTTCCCAGTTAATACATAATTAAATTGCATCTATTTTTGTATATCAATCCCTGCTAAACACAACTTTTTAAATGAATTTTTTTGTAATAGTCATAGTTTTGTGGGCCTAGAATTGCAGAACCAAAGCTTTTCTTACATCATTTTTTCAAATATTCTTATTGTTCTGCTGTGAGTAAAACTACTCATTATGACTTGAGATTAATAACAGCCTGTGGTTTATTAAATTGTTCTTTTTGTCACTATTGTGCAAATCTTCCAGAAATCCTTGCCACTTAAGGACATACAAATGATCTAATTGGGGATGATATAATCATATAAGTATGAATCAAAGTAATTAATAATTCAATGTTTCACTGGTTTTAAAAGACAGTGCAGAGTTTTTAAAGCAAAAATTATAGCATTAGTAATTCTCATAGCCATATACCACCATTGGTGTTATTCAAAGCTGGCATTGGCAATTTACACACATTCTTTTAAATGGAACAGCAGGCAATGTGCTCATAAAATTCAATTCTTTATATGTCTTGAGAGAGATAAGATAAATTCAAAGAGAGGAAACTGTGTAGGAGGAGGGAAGGAAAGAGAAGATAAAGAGATGAAGAAGAAAAGCACAGTTTTAGCGGAGAAACCTTACGGGTGGCATGGTTGTAAAGTGAGTGCTGGTGTGGAATGCATATGCTGGGCTGGCAGTGAGTGCAGATCTGTGCACCTTCCATCTGCCCACCAGCTGATCTTACTTCCTTTCTGCAGATGAAGACTGTTCCCAAGTCAGTGTTTGATATTCATGCTCAATTACTTCAACATTGGTGTGTTCTATTCAGTCCCCATTGCCTCGCTTCTCATTAACTCCAGGCTTCAACCTGGTGGAGCTGGAAAACCTCAGCCTCTGCTTATGATGCACAGCTTTGCACTTGCATAGATGTTAATCGTATTTTCAGGAGCACAGTAAACAGCAGGAGAGGCAGGGACAGGCAGACAGAAAAGCAAATGAAGGTCTGGCCAGATGTGACTGATCGCCTAGTCTCTCCAGGCCTGATTGCTGCCTTGCCAAAATTAAAGGCAGCAGTGTGGTCATTCCTGTCCAGGATGGGGATGTGAGGGAGGACCAGTTCTCTTAATTTCTGGATGCATTAAAAATGGGAGTCAGAAGCAATGCGCAAATGGCTCCCACTATAATTCTAGCTACTCAGGAGGCTGAGATCTGAGGATGGCAGTATGAAGCCAGCCCAGACAGGAATGTCTCAGAGATTCTTCTCATCAATTAACCAGCAAAAAGCCAGAGGTAGAGCTGTGGTACAAGTGGCAAAGCAACAGCCTTTATCAAAAAAGTTGAGCTATAGAGCCCAGGCCCTGAGATCTAAGCCCTAGTTTCAGCACCAAAAATAAATAACAAAATGAAGGTCAGGGATAAAAGGAAAATTTGAGCTAATATATCTTGATGATGTTCACTTATATTTCATGATTTAAAAAAAAATCTTAACCTGCAAGTATTACAATGCAAATGTAATCATTACCTTACTCATGTAACTGTAACCCTTTTGTACAGTATCTTTGCATTAATATATATTTATATATATATAAAGATTTAGTTTAAAAGTAAGATTTAGCTGAATCTTTTGCTGATTGAGCTGTATGTTTGATGTAGTCAATCCCGAGTGTTGATTGAACTCACTGCTTTTGAACTGTAGAACATGTTTTTAGAGGACACAGATATGACTGTTAATGTAGTTAATGTGCCCTAACAACACATGGTGAGTGTTTGATTGTACTTTTGATAATGATGATTACCACAAGTGAATGCAACATTACACATGATTCCTATGAGCCATCATCTCCTACCTCAACATTCCTTTAAGTCGTCTCCACTTCCCCATAAGCCCCTCTCCCAACCTGGTCTGGGCTTTCAGTGAAGGTGGAAAGTACTATGCAGTGTTGTACCTAGTGAAATGGAACCAGGTTACTTGAACAGAAAGGTGGGGTTGGGAAAGACATTGGGAAATGGTGGATGGGGTGACATTGGTCAAGATGCATTGTACTCATAAATTGATATGTTGAATTGAAACCCCTTTGTACAATTACTTAAATTAAAATCCTCAAAGATAATAGAAATATGAAAGAAATAAAACAAATGATAAATGTTTATTAAAATCACTAAGTAGATTGTTCACATAACATTTAAGCAAGTTCATGGTTAAATGTTGCAAATGGTGTGCAAGCTTTAATTAACTCTAAAATTTTGCTTTTCTTTCTGGCAGCTGTAAAATCACCAGGCTTTTCCTTTTGCCTATTTATCTTAGTCCTTCCCTGCCTGATTTCCTAATATTAATCCAGAATGAGAAATAGCTCTTATAAATGTTCCCCTTGATAATTTAATTTTGTTTTCATTTTTCTGGGTCACTCAAGCCTTCTTTGATTCAAGGCTGAAATAATCTATTTCAGTATTTATGATTATTTCATCCATCATGGGTACATATATTTCAGTTTTCTTAGAAGTCTGGGGGAAGCTGTACTATCTCATTTAATTCATGATGGTTCCTCATTTCTGTGGTTTGTGAGTCTTCATCAGACATAAGAAAAAGAATTTTAAAGCTTGATTTCTCAATGTTTAGGAAGTGAAGAAATTGTGGTATTTAATCAGTGGCTTAAAAAGTTATGGCATAACAAGTTTTGTTTTCCCCACAAATGTATTTTAAGTAGTGATTACAATATACTGTAAATATAATAATAAAATTATAGTATAATATAAAATAGGGTATGAACAAATCAGTATGTTGAGCCTACTGTTCTGATGAAGCACAGGGGTGTGGCCAACCACCTTGTAGGCCTCCGGGAGCTCTAGGGTCCCTGTCTCTGCTCTCTACAGGAAGAATTGGGTTTGAAACTTGAACATAGCTGTACTTAATTACTAGGGATTCTCAGCAGGTGGAAGGTTCAGCCTTTGTTCCTGTATAGGTAGTTTGTTTCCTTTTAGTACCCCCAATACTGTGAGAAGATTCAGGGTGGGGACCAAATTCATTCCCACTGGTGCCTCCACCACATTTCAGTTCTGGGACAGAAAGAGGAAAGCTCCAAGTGTCAGGCCAGACCCCAAATTACTGAAAGCTGATAAAAGTTTTAAATTATGTAGAAGCTATTTATAGGTTATTGGAATAAGGTGACATAGATCATCAAAGAACAGAGGTGGTTTGGTAATAGGAACTAGCAAGGGTATAGGAAACCATTATTTTGATATTGTGATCAACACAGGCTTTGTTCCAGGGTTCTTAAGTCAGGAATAGGAATCTAGGTTGAGCCTAAGATTTCACCTTCTCAGCCAGTCCTTCTACATTCTGGAAGAACATTTATTGGTGATGAAACACAAGAATTCTGCCCCAAAGGTCCTGGTTGAACCATAGGTACAACTGTAAAACTCCCTGAGAAGTCATGAGCTCCAGTTTAATGGCAGCGGACACTAGCAGAAAGTCTGAGTTAATACTAAACACTAATGTTGTAGTACAGACATAAAATTATTCTAGGCCATGAGCTAACTCTAAAACTATAAACTAGGAGAAGAGAGAAATCCCAGGCCCAACATTGTTTCTGCCTTTTATTGTTTCTTTCTGAAATGGGGGGAAGATAGTATTTAAGGGAAATTATAGGAAATATTTTTTATGTATTCATTTTTATTGTAAAGGTTATAGACACTAAGGATTACAGTTACATAGGTCAGGTACTGAGTACATTGCTTTTAGGACAGTATCATTTCTTCCCTCGTTTTCTGTTTTTCCCTCCTGACCTCCCTCCCCTACAAGGTATATAGCTCATTTTCAACATAGTGTCTAGGGAATATCATATCACTGCTGCATTTGTTCACCCTTTGTCCCACCATTTCTTTTTTTTTTTTTTTTTGTCTTTTCTTTTTTGGTACTGGGGATCGAACCGGATGTTGCACTTGCTAGGCAAGCGCTTTGCCACTGAGCTACATCCCAGCCCAGCCCACCATTTCTGTGCTTCCACATATCCTCCCCAAAATAGATAAACTTAAATATGAGACAAAAGATATGTTACTTATTAAAGACTACCTTTTATCAAACAAGTGTCTCCCCATCCTTGTCCATCTATCTGTCCCTCCCTCCCTCTCTTCTTCCTCCTTGTTCTCCTCCTCTTCTTCTTCTTCCTTGTCCTCCTCTTCCTCCACTTCTTGTCTTATCTTTGTCTTCTTCGTCTTCTACCTCTCCCCTTTCTACTTCTTCCCTTCTCCTCTTTCCTCTCACCCTCTCCTGTCCTCCCCTCCTCTTCCACAACTACCACAGCCGCCGCCACCTCCTCCTCCTTTTCTTCCCACCCCTGTCTCTGTCTCTCAACAAGGATTTAACCTATAGCCCAAGCAAACCTCATACTTGAGATCCTTCAACCTCAGCCTCTCCAGTGCTGTCATTACAGGTATGCACCACCAAGCCTGGCTAATGTTTCTTCTTGCTGTCTAACCCTAGCAAGGCTGTACTTGAATTTTAGAATGGTGTTCTCAATGGGCAAGATAGAGTAACTAAACATCTTAAGCCAGTGCTGTCCATTAGAAATTAGAAATGCTA